ATATGTAGCCCAGGCTGGACTGGTCCCAAGCTCTTCCTGCCTCAGCCTCACCAATCGCTGGAATGGCAGGGGTTGCAGGCATTTGTCATCACACAAGGATGACTTTCCTTCTTTGCAGTGTTGAGTATAGAATCCAGGGCCTTGTGCATCCTAAGCAAGCACTCTACTACTAAGCTACACCCCAGCTCCAGCTATCACACTTTTAAACAGAAAGCACAATTACTTAGTTTGCAAATAATACAACAACCACATTATTATAATTCTTACATCACAACAGATCAAAAGTAGCAAATAAAACTGTATAAAGAAGCAGGCATTCTGACACAAGAACTAATAACTGACAGGAAGAAAACAGAAAAGGACTATGTACTATGTCAGTACACATGAAAACCCAGAAGCCAATAAAACCCATAGTCTTCATATCAATTTTAGCAGAGGAACTCTAAATAAATACTCCTTTGGAAAGCAAAGATGAAGACATACAAATCACATTTCTCCTTTCTTTATTTATGTACCTCCCACCCTAGGGTTTCCATACCCCTGACCTCCCACAAGGTTCAGTTACAGACATGCTTCTCTGAGTCATGTACAACAGCTTACCAAGAGGTTAATTTTTAAATTTTAACCTATTTTGTGTGTGTCTATGTGTGTGGGTGTATGCATGGCACTGCACATGTGTGGAGGTCATAGGATTATTTGTAGGAGTCCATAGATCAAACTCAGGTGGTCAATCATGGCAGCAATACCCACACACTTACTGAACAATCTCAGTGGCCTCTATTATACTTTATTTATGTGGATATCTGTTTAAGTATATGCTCTCTCTCTCTCTCTCTCTCTCTCTCTCTCTCTCTCTCTCTGTGTGTGTGTGTGTGTGTGTGTGTGTGTGTGTGTGCCCACAAAGGTTATAAATGTGTGTGTCAGATCTACAGAACGTGGAGTTACAGGAAGTTGTGAGTCACCTGATGTAGGGGAGGCTGTAGCCATGCCTACAGGTCGCTACAGGCTGGCTAGGTCGCTCTGTAAGTAAGGCTTTTCCCTATTAAATACCCTTATATTTTTACCTGACTCCGTATTGGTAATTGCCCACTATAACCTGACATAGGTACTGGGAACTGAATTAGATCCTCTTGAAGAGCAGCAAGTACTCTTAGATGCCGAGCCACCATTACAGCCCCCACCCCTGGTTATTAATTTTTTAAAGTAAGTCTTTATAAAGAATTCTATTAGAGTCATGTTTTGTTTGTTTGTTTGTTTGTTTGTTTTCGGGGGGGTGCTTTGGGGGTAGGGTTGAGACAGGGTTTCTCTGTGGCTTTGGAGGCTGTCTTGTAGACCAGGCTGGTCTTAAACTTACAGAAATCTGCCTGCCTCTGTCTCCCAAGTGCCGGGATCAAAGGCGTGTGACACCACCCGGCTAGTGTCAACAATCTTACTTGGCATGAATAAAGTCCTATGTTCAATCCTACCAACATAAACTTTCTCGTTTTTATAAAATATGTATATTGCTATAAACTAAAGCCATTTTACTGTGCTGTAGAACATTAGAACTTACTTTTAATTTAATTTAATTTTGGTACCCATTATCCATAGTCTTTGATTTTATCTTTGAACATTACATACAAGTACTGAACTATTATACTATTACTGAACTGTCACTGTATAAATATGCACTATTATTGTGTATTAAACTACACTTGAGTTTATTGAGATGTGATACTCACCAAATACGGTTTAGAATGTAAGAAAGTTGTAAAAACATACAGCCAAATGGTAAAAGACTGCCAAGTATAATGGTAATGGTTGGTTTTGTAAAGAATCTCCTTTGAGTCCTCACACGACGAGTCTGGTATGCACGAACCGGAAACTGAAACTAAAATAAAAATAAAAATGCATGAAGCAACAACAGGATTGAATGAAACAAATCCACAGTCATAATGACAATTCAATACAGAATCCTGAATCTGAATAACACATAAATGTCATGTGGGCTAGGACTAGATCACAACCATGCAATAAAGGTATGATGTAAACAGGAATATTTTATACACACACACATACACACACACACACACACACACACACACACACACACACACACCAACATATATAATTTGTAGTAGTTAGAGTAAATTTTTAGTAGTTTTTTAATAAAAGTATAAAAAGTAACAGGTAAAATAACTTTAAGAGTCTATTTTATTTAATATAAGAATATTATCAATCGAGGTCAAGTGTGGTGATTTACACACAGGAATGGTGCCACCAAACCCCATTTTCTCGAGGAATTGAACCCAGGACTTCCTGCATGGTAGCCAAGCACTCTATCAACTGATCTGCAGACCTGGGCATTTACCTTCCCAAATACATTCCAAAGGAGATCTATAACAAGATTTGTTTGTGACTATTCTAATATGAATAGATGTGTTTAAAAGCTCCCTCCAAATTTACCAAAAATTTGATCTTTTAAATAAATTCATCAATGAATTTGTCAATATTGCTCATTTTTTCTTTTTCCTCCTTTCTATAGAACTCCATTTCCCATTCCATTGGGTTTTCTGTTGTTTGTTTGTTTTATTTTCCCCCTGCCATCTCAAACTAGTTTTGTACAGTCCTCTTGCAGAATAGTCACATCTAGTCTTTTGGGGGCATCTGTTTCTTTTCTCCTATACATAGAATTAGGCTAACTTCAAATCTGTAACTGAACATCCCATTTGCCAATTGTATCTTTGCTCTCTTCTCCCACTATAGAAACATTTAATTTCCAAGAAAGTTGACATAGGCTTTTTATATACTATGCCCATTTTATTTTGTCCGTCAGCGATAAAAAGAAATGCAAATACCCTATGGTGTGAGAAGTATATTAAATAGTATCTTTTAAAATGTCACTGTCTTTTACTTACTTATTTTTATAACTTCAATTCAAAAATGATTATAATGTTTCAGTGGCATTTTGCATTTTATATATAGTATATACACAGTAAGATTTCCAGTATTCTGGAAGTTTACCTTGTCCCTTTTCCCAAAGAACACTCCCAAAAATGTTAATGGTGTTGAAACTCCAAAGCAAAGTGTAAAAATGGTTGCTAATGAATCAAAGGATATGGCACATGATGAACCTTCCATCCAAAGACTTAGATTCATAATAAAGATATCCGTGAAGACAATTCTGAGGAAGGGGATGGAGAATATCATTAGACAATATACTTCCAGGAAAATATCATAAATATATTTAATGCAAATGCCAGCATGTTCTTTTGGTGAGAATAATTCGTTACAATGTTAAACCCTAGAAACATATTATATCACAGTGCACAAATTGATCCTTGAGCTGAGACTTAAACCTGATATCATGTAACAGCAATTTGTTATAGGATATAATTTACAAATCCTCTCATCTTTACATCTTCAAAATCTAGCAGAAATTAAGTAAGGTATGGATTAATATACCAATATACAATATAATGAGCCCAATGAAGAAACAATATATGGAAAAACAGATTTTTGGAACCTAGACTGAAATAGGCTATATGATGCACTCAAAATCAACAGAACAGCTAAATGAAGTAGCTACATTACTGGGCAATACTAATTGTATCCCTACTTGTTTCAGATAAATTTGTGTACTGATAAAAGTGTCAGTGTGGGAATGATATGATTGTTTTAGAATACCTAAAATACAAAGTTGGAAAAACATAGACAGAGACTAACTTATGGAAGTCCCTGAATGTTAAGGAAAACAGACTTTATTCCATCAAAATCAAGGATGAATTAGAGACATATTAATTCAGTGTAAACATCCTCCTATTTTCAAGAGTTGTTTCTTACTTCTCCTTAATCTATGTTGTCCCTGCTCAAAATAAAAAATAAAAATAAAAATGAGCTGAAGAGATTTAAACTCTAATTTGTTATAATTAAATGCAATTTCTCTGGGGGGTCAACCTATGGGGAAAAATGACAATAGAAAGGAGCCAAAACTAGAAAGAGTCTGTATTATGTGATAGTTAAAACATAAAAGGAATTGTCATAAAATATATAACAGGAGTCTGACTAAAGACAGCATATTGAACTCATGCATTTGGATCTGCTTCTGTTTCAAAACCCTGATAAAATTATAGTAAAGGTGATTATAAGAGGCCACAATTGCAAAAGTTTTGATGATATAGGGAAGAAAAACTTTGGAACAAATTTTAACTTTAGATAATGACTGGATAGATAGTAACTAAGTTAATACATCTGAGAAAGCTGCCTTCCGACCTCACAGCAAGCAAGCTGAGAGGCAACTGAATTTATATCGAGAGTTCCAAAAAGGTGAAGGAATGTTCAGAGGACAAGTCCATCTGTAAGCATGCATAAAAAGGAGACCTATGAAAGTTAGCCTAAGAAGCCCCAAATTCTCATTCCCACCAGTCACAGCCCCGTAACTTCCCTTCCGCTACCTCAGCAGAAGACTGTCTACTCTCAGAAAGAAGCCTTCAAACTCAGGAGACTGACTTTTAAAATCTATCATAAGGCATCCTTGGAGCAATTAGCAGAGATATTACAACCATAAAACAAGAAGAGAAACTTTTAAGGACTTTTGAGGTAATAAAAGCGCTCTTGGGAGTTAAAAATATGACAAGAGGAATTAAAACCTCAATAAAACGGTTGAGAGATAGATCTGATAAAATGTCTTAAAAGCAGCACAACAGAACAGCAAAGAACATAACAAGAGGACAATACCACATACAAAACATTAGATGAGTAAGCCAGAGTGCTGGTATTAAAAGCATGTGCCACCATGCCAGGCTCATTAATGGGCTCTTTCTATGGACCTTGTTTGAAATAAATGTCCACCTTTGACTAGCCTTTGAAAACATCTCTATCACAAGGTAACTATGCCTGAACTCTCCCAGCACTCACATCTATCACCAGAGAGAGGGAACGTATTAACAGCCACCCCATAATACATGGCTGGTTAAACGTTGCTTCTACTTTTCAGGAAATAACTCTTCCATTTTAAGTTCTCTCAAGGTCCATCCCAAAATTAGAATTCTAATGTTACCTTCCTATTTGTTATGTCTTTTCAATACCTTATTCGGGAACACTGCACTGGACACTTTCTCTTCTTCAATTGTAAGTCACTTGGTCATTTTAAAACCAATGTCCACTACTGGTTCTTTCATTTTACAATTTGTACTTCACCTCCCCACATACGTGTATTTAAGATACACTGTTTTCAGTAGGTATATCTATTCTACTCTTGAAATATTTTCACACTACTGGAAATACAGCTTCAATTTCTTCCAAACAATAACAAAACCTCTGCTTCATGGCTTTAAAATGTTTTGTAACTTATAAGGAAGCCTGGTTTTCCATGATTCAACCACACCCCTCAAAACACTTTTAATACCTTGCTGCTCTAATGGATTTGTTTAGCCATAATATCCCTTTGCCAAATTCTCTACTTTTGAGATTCATTTCAACTGTTATCATTCCTTAGCCAGAAGACTACTCCTCACGTGACAAATCACAACCTCCCTTCTTAGACAAACTCAAACCATCTCAACAATTTGCCTTTAGGAAGTATGCTCTAGAATGTTAGTATGAGGCTTAACAAATCGATAACTATTCTGCAGCATCATGTTTTTGCATACTGAAAATTTCCTCCTATGTCAACCTTATTATTTCTAGACTTTTAATAGCATGACAAGCAAAATATCTAGAGTTAAACAGTAACAATATTTGATAAATGGACTACATGAAATTAAAACTCTTTTGCATAGTAAAAGAAACAATCAACACAATGATGCAACTGTGGTGGTGTTTTGTTTGTGATGTATAAGTAGCATTGTGTGGTATATTGACTTTTCAGGGGTACTGCTTGGGCCTAAATTCTGCGCATGCTCCCATACATGACCCTACACTCAGACACATACACAGTCAACACTAACTGGAATCAATGGGTTATAAAGAAAAAGAGGAGGTATGACTTTGGGAGGGTGATAAGGGAAAGATGGAAGAAGTCGGAAGGAGGAATTCCATGCATGGGTACAATGGATATCATCGAAATCCACTGTATCCAAACATGGAATTCTTGATAGACACAAGATAGAAATTTTAAGTCATTCATTTGGGGAATGCACAGATGCTTAGCAGTTAATAGTGCTTCCTGCAAGCCCACCAGTTGGGAGGCAGAGACATGAAGGCATTTTCAAGCTTGAGGCCAACCTGGTTCACATAGCTAATTCTGTGCCAGCCAGGGCTACAAAGTGAGACTCTGCTTCACTAACGGTAAGGAGCTCCAAACAAACCTGTCTGTATAGAGTGAGCACTAGGAAAGTCAAGGTAAAATTAAAGGGCCAATAGCATAGCTCCTCCAAGAAAAGCGGCTGCTGCACAAACCTGATGCCCCAAGTTCATTCCCTGGATCCCACCCTGAAAAGAGAGAAGTAACTCCCAAAAGTTTTCTTCTCACCACACTCACGCTGTGCCACAAGCATACCCACACTTACACACACACACACACACACACACACACACACACACACACACTCATGCACACATCATTTACACAGGTGTGTGGTGTGTGCATGTACTCATGTGCATATACATGCAACCACAAATCATTTTAAAATGAAAGAAATAAAAAATGTAAAAATAGAACAGAAAAAGGGAGTGGTTCTTGCTCTTCAAGAGGATCCAACTTTGGTTCCCATCTTCCGTATCCATCCGGCAGCTCACAACTACCTAGAACAGCAGTTTCTTTCAATCTGACACTCTATTCCAGCTGGTGCAGACACCAGCATTCACATGTGCACGCCAACATACAGGCACACAGACATACATGTAGAATGAAATTTTAAAAATCTACACAGGTAAAAAGAACAGGAAAGCAGGTAATGGAAAAAAAAAAGCTGCGAGAAGCCATGCAGGCAGTAGGAAATGTGAGAACAAACAGTTCACACTATGGAGCCCATGAAAGGGTCAGAAACCGATAACAGCGGGTTTTCTATGAGGAATGGGAAGAGGTGGGAAATGACTGAAGGAAGAGAATTTTGTAAAAGCTTTTGAGAAGTAGATATTTCTATCACCTCCTCCCTCACAGAAGATATCTGGAGGCTTCTTCTCTGGGCTAGAGAACACAAGGCATGGGAAAAAAACTGACTACTATACTCAGAAATATTTAAGCAGCCAAATGCACACTAAATTTTGCAGGTTTAAGCACCCTTTTTTCTCTCCCACATACGTCTTATAAGGCTAACATTCTCCCCAGACAGAGACTGGAAAATACATCTCTTGGCAAAATGAACAGACAAACATTTAAACCCTAAAGATAATTTTCTAAGAGGTTTCCAGAAAAAAAAGAGAAAAGAGTAAAGTAGAGAGTGACAGAAGAAAGACACTCAATGTCCTCTGGTCTCTACACATGCA